AAATGATAAGTATATCCATTAAACGTTAATAATAATGAAATAAAATTGTTAAAGAAGTTCTTTTTTTTCTTCTTATTCTAACAAAATTGGCCAACCGAAATTCTAAGATCAAGAGATTCTTTTCCAATCTTTCAGTTGCTGTTGTAACACGACATAATTATCCTTTAAATTTCGGTAAATAGACTGCATCGGATAATCGACATTTCACACTAATGAATTTCACCTAAACAAGCGTTAAAGTTTATTTTATATTAAATTTGACTTTACTTTTAAATTTTAAAACGATAAATTAGTACATACGATGCAGCACAAATATCAAATAGATTATATTCATTATAATTGAATAGATGTTCATCAATTGGATTTTTCTTCACAAACACTTGATACTTTTCCTGTCTAAACAAAGTAATAGAGGAAATCATTTTTTATATTTTTTGTTCGTCTTCTAAAACAATTGAACCACAAATTATGTTTACTCTTAAAAATTTTCATAGTTAAAGTCGAAAATGAGAAAACTCTTGATTTGAAAATGAAATATGAATAGTAAAACAAAAAACCTGTTGAATAACATCAGGTACTGATCCCAATTTCAATAAACCTTTGGGGAAAACTTGTTGCAGTTTTATAAATTTATAAATTTCAAAAACTTGATTAATTGCAAATTTTAATGTCATGATTAACTAATTCACATGAATACTTTTCATTATCTTTCGCTAAAATTTTGGTTTCTGTCATTGACATTTATCAACCAACAATGTATATTCTTTACATATTTCAATTCATGGTTGACTTTCAAGAATAAATTGACATGATTCAATAATAAATAATGAAACAGATAATAATATTGAACGAAATTTTTCATTTGTTATTAAATGATAAGCGATTTGAAAGCGTCGAACGAATTCTTCTAATTTTAATCCAACTATTGGATAAAATAATTTTGATGAATGTGCATCAAACCTTGATAATTAAAATAAAAATTTAGAAATATTTATAAAATAAACAAATAATTTATATATTTGAATAAAAACATACAACATCAGATGATAATTTCATTTCAATATCATATCAACCTTCGCTTTCAGTTTGTATTGCATCATCGGTCCAATCTTCACCGCCTGTTGTTATTTCATCAATTATGAAGATTTGCTGTTGTGTTTGATTTTGAATCTTCTTTAATGCTTGTTGACTTATTGGACATAGTAGTAAAATTTATTTAGTCTTCAGATTTATTACAAGTAACTAAAATAAATAAATATTTTATTTTGAATTATTAAATTTAACTCGAGATTAATATTAATTAAATGTATGTTTATCCTATTCTTTTATATCTAGCATCTCAATTAAATAAAAAACAAGCAATAATATCTTTGTTGAAATTTTTTAGTCAGCCGGTTTATTCCTTATTTGAAAGAGCAAAATATTAGAAAACTAAAATAAAATTTTCTAAATTGTTTTGAC